TCCAGGTGGGAAATTCCTGGAGATTTGAGGGATGGCGCCTGAAGAGGGTGAGGTTTAAGGAGAGATGGGACCTCAGACAGGTACAATGCCATAGACTCCACCCATCAAACCAGCCATTCCATCCTGGGGAACCAATTGTCAATCTCCAGGTGGGGGCTGGAGATCAATGAGAATTACAACTGCTCTCCAGGAGGGAGGGGGGAGGAGATGGAAAGCTGAAGTCAGGGGGCAGATAACGGTAGGTTGACGGTTGGCTGTGAGGGAAATAGGGTTGCCAACTCCAGGTTTGTAAATTCCTGGAGATTTGAGGGGTGGAGCATGGAGACGGTGAGGTTTGAGGAGGGGTGGGACCTCAGACAGGTACAATGCCGTAGACTCCACCCTCCAAACCAGCCATTTCATCCTGGGGAACAATTATTGCCAATCTCCAGGTGAGGGCTGGAGACCACTCAGAATTACAACTGCTCTTCAGGTTGCAGAGATCAGTTCCTCTGGAGAAAATGGTGGACTCTGTGTCATTATACCCTGCTGAGGTCGCCACAGCAAATTGACACTGTGTGCCCAAAGCCAGGGCATTCTCACAGAACCTCTTTCTAGAGCTGTTGTATTTATTTACACAATGAGCCTTATTCCTAGTTGATTATAATGATATATTTCCAGATGACATCAGTAACAACAACGGGCTTTACTGCTAGTAATTATATATTTCCAGATGACATTAGTAACAATCTGCAGCTCTGCACTTCTAATTTTCAATGTGCCATTTTGTTGCAATTTTTCTTTAGTGTTGTGAAAAACAAATCTAATTTATTAAAAGATTTATACCTTACTTTCCTCCAAGAACTCAAGTTGACTTCTGTGCTGTGGATGGTTTTTGCAGTCATGGGGCATAATGCAGATTGGGGGCTTGCTGCTTGGGGCACACCGTTAAGCACTCTCCCCTTGTTCCAGTTCCTCCTTCCTGATCATTGCAGTATCCTGTCCTGTTCTTAGGGGTGCCAACCTCCAGTTGGAGCCTGGAGATCCCCCAGAGTTACAACTGATCCCCAGACCACAGAGATGGCAACTTTGAAGGGTGGATTCTAGGAATTGCATGCCAGATCAACAGATTGGCTCCTTAACAGCAGTGCAATAATGATAGCAGTGCCATTAAATAGCCCCAGGAAGCTCACATTTTTTTAAAAAAAATGTTGAAGGGACATACTTCCACAGATGTTCCAAACAGTGAGAGAGTCCGAAAAGAACCACTCACTCTTTGGCGAAGAAAATCCATGTGGTGGACTATTTCAAATGATCCAATATCCACCAGTGTGGATCCTCTGTTCCATGCAGCTAATGCAAAAACGGCATTGATGGGTTGGCAGAGAATGACTTTAGTGCGGGTCTGACCTCAGATGCTTGAAGTGGTATAAAATAACTTTCTAACCACTAGCTTGGTTTGTTCTGCACTGAGGCCTCTTTTAATGATGCACTATGGTTGACATCATTAGGAAGCAATGGCAGCACTCCTATGTCTCAAAAAGTTTTTCTACACAAGTCTGAGTGATTTCTAAACTGTCATAACATTTAACAAAGTAAACAAAATTACTTTCCAGACTTCATAGAAACTAAAAGCATTGGAAAGAGTATGGTTGTATTTGCTTTTTCATTTAATCCCAATAAAATGGATGAATGGATGAATGGAAACTGGGTAAACTGGATTCTCAGAATGCATCATGTACTTATATGATAAGCAGCAGGCTTCTTCTTTCTCCCTCCACCCCCCCCCCTTTTACTGAATATGGGGGCAGGCCCTTAAAATTATCCTTTTAGTCCATAAAGGGCATGATTATTGTTGTATATGCCCCTAATTTGTGGTGCCATATTTCTCACGGAGTCCTCCCCCCCAAAAAAGGGAAAGGGCACATTCATTGAGAGAGAACCATGATTTTGTAGGAACTCAACTTAGTGGCCTGAATTCTAGGAAAATCATGATCCCTTTGCAATGGAGACATCTGCTTGGGCCATGTTGTCTGGAATGAGCCAGCAAATTTGTATCCACTGTGTACTACCTGTTGTGTCCGCTGACCGGCACAGGGCCAGCGATTACCCCAGAGCTTGACTCTGGGAGAACAATAGGGACTAGGCTCCTAGTCCCTCCACTGGGGGAGCCAATGGGAACCGTGGCGGGAGATTCAAACCCACCAACGGGACCCAGGGGTGTGTCCCCAGGGGTGTATATAGTTGGCCAACTGGCCGTTAGTCTTGTCTTGTTGTGTATCAATAAAGCGTGCTATGCACTATGCCAGTCTTTGTCTTTCGTCCATGCAGCAAACCCACTACACAATACTACCTGTGCCAAAAATTTAATTTCTCAGAAAGGACCTAAGATTATAACTTTTTCAGTAACATCTGTAGTTCTAAAATATGTTAAAACAGCAATAGTATTTTGTAGTACTTTTTATTAACATTCAAGTACTTAACTACGACTATCCCAGATTCTGACTGCCTTTGGTTTCCCCAAGAACTCTCATAGGAGTGCTGCTTTAAAGTACCTATTTGTCAGAGCCAATTTACTTTCTTTTTTGTTGAAGGAACCCAATGGATTACCTTTTAAATATGCAACCAAGAGTGTTCAGTGTAATCCTAATATTCTTATTCAGAAGTAAGCCCAATTGATTTAAATGAGGTTTAATTTCAGGCAAATTCATTTGGGATTGCAGCCTCGGTATGATGATGCTCTGCCCTACCCCTACCCCTGTCCCTGTCCCCGTACTTACTTGATGCTACAGCTGCCACTGATGAGTAAGCCGGATGGATGTGGCTGGAACCTAAGAACAAACAAGAGCATCTCTAAACTGCTGGGACAATAATTTCAGGTGGAAATGTGTGGAACAAAGGATGAGACAATGGAAAACGTTACAGGGGCCAAAGTGATGTGCTCTTTGCGGATGACTGTGTTCCATAAAGTCCTGCAAGCCCATTTCTAACGCGCTCAGAGTTTCAGGAGATGTATTCCGTTCTACTCACCTATATCTCTGACTTTGTGCGTTGCATGCTGAGGCTTCGCGGTTGCCACGGTCATTGCTTTGGTGGTGAGTGTGGTGGGGATGGTAGTTGGGACTGCTGTTGGCTTTGGAACTGTGCTGACAAATTCTGTTGTCATGATGGTGGGCTTTGGCAAGGAGGTGACTATTTTGGTACCTGGTAATGGTGCTGCAGTTGTCAGATATTCTCTGCGCAGTGAAGTTCCTATTTTAATATTTAAATATGGAAGATTAATGTGAAGAGATCTATGATATATTACATGTGGAAACTGCCAAAACTATGGGTCAGTTCAGACAGACAGCAGCATCTCATGCAGGTACCCTGAAGCACAAGGGGGTGGCCTCTGGGATAGAGGCCCAGCAGCTCTCATGTGGGAATGGCACTGTCTGTGAGAACCAGCATTTACACGAGAGGCTGTTTCCATGGCTGCTGTTCTTTGTGTATCTAAAAATAAATAAAGCCCCCCCCCCCCCCGGATGTTGTAACTGCACAAGCTGTGTCTCCAGGCAGGAGAACTGTAGACTTTGTGGCAGCCCTGCATTGATCTGAGCTGTTTGTTTAAAGGTGGACTGGACCTTTAACTGACCAGGAAAGTTCCCAGTGGGCTGCTGCCATGGAGGACAGCCTGTGGGCATGAGCTAAATGATACATGAGATGTGAGCTGGGTCAGGAACACCCCCCAACCTGTCTCATTGTCAAACGTACTCTTAAGGGGATCACCTTAAAAAAAACACTTGGGTGCTGCTTGGTGTATCTGGGAGCACTGTGGGGGAGGAGGAGGGGCTTCCTGCCTTCCCTTCTGCACCATTTTCCCCAAGGGGGTGCTGTTTGCCCCTTCCTTGGGCTCCATGTGACCTGGGATCATGTGACTGAATCAATTCACTAATGTGTACTGCTGACTTTTTGAACAAAAACAGATCCAAGCAACTAAATAATAATATAATATGAACAACAACAACAACAACAACAACAACAACAACAACAACAACAATAATATGAATGTTTCCCAAAATGTACAATCATTCTCTTCTACCTTTTCAATATTCTAAAACAATTGTTAAGCTTCCCAAGTTAAACACCAGATGTTTCTTGCAATGAAAATTCTGCAATATTTTGGCTAGAGCCTCTGACTGTATACAGTAAATATTTTGGGTGATTAGCAGGACGTGAAGAAAAGCAACTTAAAGAAACATCAGTCTTGTTGGTCTTACTAATTCTTCAAGCAAGAGCAACTAGACAACATAGCAACTGGTAATTCATATTGGAATTGTGTATCTCTAACTGCATCAAAAGACAATTCAGCTGATGAGCAACATAATGCAGTTGTAAATGCACATCTGGGTCCATCAGTGCAGGAAACTGCATGTACTTGGAACTGCCTTGCAGAACTGGGGCACAGCTTTTCATCACATATAGGGGGAACACACACACCAAAGAAAAACAGCTTCAGAAGAAGTTTAACCACTTGCCTCCTTTAACTGAGGGGCTTTTGACAGATGAATACTCAAGAGTTGATGGATATTGCACACCTTTTTTGGGTTTGCCTTCTATGAAAAAACAAGAAAAACGAAATCTTGGAATAAAATTAACCATGTTTTAAGTCATTGAACATTTAATATCTAATACATGCAGCATTTAATGCAGAATTAGTACATTAATCTTCCATCCATTTGAGGTTTGCATTTAGCCTTTCACCCATTATCCAGGGTTTGCAACTATGGCAAGACTCACCGTACAGGTGGCTCTGAGACACAAAATAACATATGAATGCTGATACATTATTGTGGGTATTATTTGAAAATACTTTTATGCTGAAGAATCAGCACCTAAATATTATTTGCTTTTAATGCCTCTTGACATTTGTTTGTAAAGATAATATTCCAAGACTTGTTCTAATGAACCAACCAGGATTTAAATCACAGAAGCAACCTGCAAGGACTTGCGAACATTTCCCCCTCTATCCTTTCCCATACACTATTCCCTCTTTCTCTAGTCCTGGTAGCCTTTATATCCTCTCCCCTTTTGCTCCTTCCTTCTCTCCTTCCCGCTTGCCAACCAGCCTTTCTTTTCTCTGCCTCTTCCAGTCTGCAGCATTATTATTTGTTTATTTCATTTATACTATAACTTTCTCCCCAAAGAGGACCCAAAGACGTTTACTTTATTCTCTTCTCCATTTTATCATCACAACAACCCTGTGAGGTAGATTATGCTGACAGAGAGTAACTGGTCCAAGGTCAACCAGCAAACTTCCATGGCAGAGTGGTAGGGTTGCCAGCCATTGGTTGGCAACAAGCAGGAGTGGAAGGGGGCAGGAAGGGGGGGAGGGGAATGTTGTCACACCAATGGCACGATGCCACTTCCAATGAAGTGAAGTCACATCACTAGTGTGACACTCTAGAATTTGGACAAAACCTCTATGGCAAAACTCTTTAAAGAATAACAAATTTAATCCATCATAAACTTTCATAAATCAGTTGTCACTTCAGATGCATGAAGTAAACCATTGCATTTCTATTTCACATTAGAAATTGATAATGCCAGTCTTATTTTTGCACTTTGTTTTATGTTGGATTTTATTTTTATTCCTCATGCACAGATAGATGGATAGATTCTTTAGGCTGAAAGCCACAGTGGATTTAACTAGTGCATTGTGACTGACATGTTCAGTACCTACAGCAATCTGCCTAGGGCTAAAAATGCTAATTAATTGTACAAAAGAGAAGGGGGGTCTCGTATACTTTTCTTTTTCTTGCAGCATCTAACTACTTTCTTTTTCATTTCACCAAAGGATATTTAATTTATTAAATATATACTATTGAAATAGAGTATTTTTAGTTTTTTTTTTAAATTGCAATGAAAAGCTGAGTAGAAGACAAAGCATATGGCTGTCCACTTTCCCCCATGCTTGATTCACTTGGAGAGATACACAACAGAAGATTTTCATAGTCTGCTAGCAGACGGTGCTTTTGATCTGAATGGAGTAATTCATTTATATACAAGCACATTTAAATACTTTGACGGTGAGTACCAGCCAATTTGCATGCCTCCCAGTGGACTCTTCAGTTTGGTCCCTGTGAACTTGCCTGGTGTTCCCATTATTCTACTTCCTGGTTTGGCAGCCCTAACTCTTGCTTTTGTATGGGCTTTTGTGCAGATCCTTATTGGCCAAGCAGGCAACTCCCAGACTTCCCATGCTTCATAAGTGGGCACACATTGTCAGTATGGCTTTTGTTTTCAATGCTGTAATGCCCCTATTTGGCTTGCTGACAATGAGCTTGGTAGAGAGGGCAGCTGCTCTTCTGTTCCTTTTTTTTTGCTGAATTCTTCTTGCTCAGTTGTCACTGACAGGTGACTTTCTGCAGGTTGGTTACTTTCATTTCTGTTTACTTTCAGCATTTCCCTGCATGTTTCTCTACAGAAATTATTAACAAAATCTACCACCAATGGTAAAATCTGGTAGCTTTCTTTTAAAACAAAAAAAAAAGTTGAAGTTTTGCAGCTTGACACTCCATTGGAAAGATTGATTCCATATTTTTTTTGTAAAAAATGTTAATCTTTAATTACTAGGCCCATTTTGTTATTCTGCTACAGCAACCCAGCATTGCTTAAGTCTGAAGACATCCATTATTTACCTTTTTTAAATTCCTCACATCTAAAAAGGGATATTTTTTCACTCTGTTTTTTCACTGCATGAACTATATAGGGTTGCCAACTCTGTGTTGGGACATACCTGGAGATTTTGGAGGCAGGGCTTGGAGAGGGCAGGGTTTGGGGTGAAGAGGGACCTCAGCAGGGTATAATGCCACAGAGTCCACCCTCCAAAGCAGCCATTTTCTTCAGGGGAACTGATCTTGGTCATCTGGAGATCAATATATAATAGTGGGAGATTTCCAGGCGCCTTAACTATATAGTATGTAACATTTACTATATAGTTCATTAACATTAACTATATAGGATGTAAGTGGCTTGCATACATGATCTTAGTTAAGCTGATGCATCCCTACTGAACACTGTGTAGAGTGAACCTTGTGTGCTAAGAACATAAGAAATGTTCTCCTGGACCAGAGGGGCCCTGGCTCAGTAGCAGTGGATCTGCTTGGTATGCGGAAGGTCCCAGGTTCAATTTCCAACATCTTTGGTTTAAAAGGATTAGAGAGAGCTGTTAGCAGGCCCATAGCCATGGGGGAGGGCTGACAACCAAACAAATGTGCCCTGCCTCCCCAACAGCCAATGCCTGGCCAGCTACTTACAGGCCCGGGGCGCCACGTGGACCTGGACCTGGGCAGCACCTGCATCCTCTGCCCAGGCCAACAGATGCCAAGAGCACTCTGATTGGACATGATGGGGCTGGAAACAGACCAGGGACCAATCAGTGGCCCTGCCTCTTGGCTCCCACCCACTGAATAAAGGATGGACAGCACCTGGCTGCTGGGAGAAGCCAGGGCTGGTGGCAGCTGCTGCTGCTGCTGCTGCTCCTGCTGAGGGGTGTGGGCAGGAGAGCTAAGCCAAGCCAGGTGGAACTGCTGCATGCCTCACAGATGAATGCATGGCCATCCTTCTGGTGCAGTGGCGCCGCAGGCTTTGCGGCTGTAGGGATGGTGATGCCTGCATTGGGCTGGAGAGTGGAGGTGCAGCTGGCCTCAGCCTCTATCCTTTCTTTCCTTTCCAGCAACACTTCCCAGAGCATAGCTGGAAATTTGAAAAGTAGTGGAGTTCCAGGCATAGCATAGTGAAATCAGCTCTCATTTATTAATTACATCGGAACGATAAAAGACAACTTAGCCGGTGCGAGGCCGGCTTATATTGGTGCACACACACCCAACACACACCCAATTCCCATGATAGGTTCTATATACAGGGCCCCAGTAACGATAGGTTCTCTTCAGGATCCTAGCGCTCCCGTTGGTTCTCACTAAGATCCACGGGGCTATTGTTCTAGACCCGAAGGTCCATGAGTCCAGTAGACCGCATCGCCGGGCGCACGCGGTCGCAGCCATATTAATACATAACACCCTTCCCCCCTTAGTTCTGAAGTGCTAGCATACAAAGTCCCACAAGGACTCAGGGCACCGCCATTCTCTCGTGGAGCAGCGTGGTTCTGACGGGGTGCAGGTCGGTGACGTTGGCCCAGGGTGTGGTAGCTCTGAGGCAGCAGTCGGTGTGGTCCTGGGTTCTGGGGCAGACTGATGCTGGGCCCTGGAGCAGAACTTGGAGCAGGCGCCAGAGCGGTGTCAGGCTCTGCTGGCCTCAGCACGGGTTCTTCCAGGTCTGGCTCCTCCTCACTGTCCTCGGTCTCTCATACCTCTCGGTCGTTGATGGGCAGCAGGCGCCGGCGCAGTTGATCTATGTGCGTCCGGATGACCTGGCCTTCTTCTGTCGAGACCTCTTATGAGAGCGGCCTTGTTACTCTAACCACCCGGGTGAGAGTCAAGGGTTTGCCCTGGGCATAGTTTCGGGCCTATACTGGATCTTCCGGATAACTCCCCCGGGGTGCCTCCTGGTTTACTGGGCCTGGGTTGTGGTTGGGTGCCCAGTCCAGGTGAAGCCGGTCCAGCCTGGTCGTCAGTCACTGGCCCATTAATAGTTCAGTGGGGCAGCATCCTGTGGCGGTGTGTGGGGTTATCCGTTGGCCAAACAAGAAGGTGGCTAGCCGGTAGTCCCAGTCCCCCTGGATGATCTGGCGCAGTGCTTCCTTGGTAATTTGTACCATCCACTCCACCTGTCCATTGGTTGCTGGGTGGAAGGGAGCGGAGTGGACATGTCTAATCCCATAATACTGCACAAACTCCAGGAATTCCACTGATGTAAATGCAGTTCCATTGTCTGACACCAGGGTGTTGGGGATGCCATGGGTGCTGAAGATCTTCCACATGGCTTTGATCGCAGCTCTAGATGACATAGAGGAGACAGGGACCACCTCTAGCCACAGAGTAGGAATCCACCAGAATAAAGAAAGTCTGTCCCTGGAACGGGCCCACATGGGAACGGGTGGGCTTTGTGCAGTGAGTATGCATCCCCGCAGGGGCTAGGGATGACTACCCATCTGCCCCACAAGATGCAGCCTTTGTGGGTGGACAGTTCTTCCTGGTGGGAAGAGAATGCTGTGAACTCTGGGCCCACATGCCCTGTGGGCCAGCCCCTCCCCACCCAGTCCCGAACACAGCAGAGGACACGGTCCTTCCCGGTGTGTTTGGAAACATCTGGCACCTGTACCGGCCAATCAGGCAGGTCTTCCAGCAGCAGGATGCAGTGCGCGGGGGCCGGGGTCGGGCAGTGGAAGGCGGCTGAGGGCATCGGTGTGTCTCATCGCCTTGCCTGGCCTGTGCAGCAGGGTGTACTGGTAGCTGGTGAGAAAGATAGACCACCACAGCACCCTGGGAGACAACATCTGGGGTGTCTGGCAGTCCAGGGCCAGGAGGCCCAGCAGCAGTTTGTGATCTGTGAAGACTATGAAGGGGTGGCCGTACAGGTAGTCATGGAAATTGCGCACCCCTGCCACGATCACCAGCACCTCCTTGTCTATCTGAGCGTAGTTTCGCTCCGCCGCCGACAAGGTGCGTGAGTAATACGCTACCGGGACCTCACGGCCATCAGCCAGTCTGTGACCCAGGACCGCCCCCACCCTATAGGGCGATGCCTCGCAGGCGAGCACCACGGGAAGGGACTTATCAAAATGGGCCAGGACAGCATTGGAAGTCAGTAAGTCTTTCACGGCCTGGAACGCCATGGCCTGCGGTGGCCCCCACTTCCATTGTGCATGTTTGTCCGAGAGACAGTGTAGGGGCTCAGCCACAGCTGCTTTGTGGTGGAGGAATGAATGGTAGAAGTTGAGCAGGCTAAGGAAAGCCTGCAGCTCTGGTTTTGAGGAAGGTGTAGGTGCGTTGACGATGGCCGCAATCAACACGTCATCGAAGAAGGGTTGTACACCGGGGATTCCTTTCAGCAAACAGTCCATTAAATTCTGGAAAATCTCCGGAGCTACACTAACCCCGAACTGCAGACGTTTGACCTTAAACACTCCAAGGTGTGTTACGATTGTCTGGGCGTCTGCTGTGGCGTCATCTACTGGCAGCTGCTGGTCACTGTCAAGTCCAGTTTACTGAATATTTTAGCCCCGGTTAGGGACGCTAGGACATGGCTCACCACTGGAACAGGATATGCGTGATCTTGGAGGGCCTTATTGATAGTGCATTTGTAGTCTGCACAGATCCTGACGTCCCCATTGGGTTTGACTGGGATTACAATTGGGGTCTCCCATTTTCCGTGGGGCACTGGCTCCAGTACCCCCTGGCTTACTAGGCAGTTGAGTTCTGCCTTGATCTTGGGCCAGAGTGCAAACAGGGCCCTCCAGGCTTTCAGGCGTAAACATAGGGGATGCACTGCTGGACCGGTGGCCCCGTATAATGGCCGAGCGATCCATCAAATACAGCCGGGAACTCGTCGCACATGGTACTAAAGTTGCCTGATGATATATTTTGTATTCTGGTGATGGCCAGGCCCAACGGGTCAAACCAGGCTAATCCCAGTAAGCTGGTGAGGTGGCCCTTAACTACGACCAGTTCCAAGGGTCCTTCGAAGTCTTTGCATATTACGCAGAAGTGGCCCACCCCTTTAATGGCGACTGGATTCTTTTGGAAGTTCTTTAGTGTGAGCTCGGTGTCTTCCAGTGGGGGTCCCCCCTTAGGGCAAAGCATGTGAAGGGTTTCCTCAGAGATTATCGAGAGGGAGGACCCAGTATCCAGTTCCATCATGCATGGGGTGCCCACTATTAAGACAGTCACTTTAATCTTATCGGGGGACCTCCGGGGCAAGAAATGTACCTGGTTTCAATGTACTGTTGTGGAGTTCCACTGTTTCTTGATGGGTGGTGGCGCAGCATTGGTGTCCCTTGGAGCGGCAGGCCCGGGCGATGTGGCCCTGTTTTCTGCAGGTGTGGTAGTCGGCGTCCTGAAAACAGCAGGATCTCCTTTCATGTGTCTTCCTGCAGCTTGCGCAGGTTGCTGGGGTGCTGGAGGATGCCGTGGACGGTGGCGGGCGAGATTCGCGTCGAGGGGCCCGGTGGACCTGGAGCACCTCTTCTTCATCTGAGGAGGCAAGGGTACCTCCTGGCGATACCTGGTGGGTCATGGACGATGGTGGATGATCCCGATGTGACCTCTTGAACGCGTTGGCAGTCTGGAGTGCTGTCTCGAGCTTCAGGTCGGTGGTGCCCAGGAGCTTTTGGCGCATCTTGGGATTGCAGATTCCCCAGACGAACTGCGTGAGGATTATCTCTTCGACTCCTGGCAGCTTGCAGTCTATGGTGAGCTGGCATAGCTCGGCCATGTAGATGGTGGCCCCTTCTCCCGCTTTTTGTGTTCATGCCCATAAATCCATTTGTCTCACCATTTTTGTGGGCTTTGGGGCGAAGTACTTGTTCAGGACCTTGAGGAGGTCCTCATATGTTTTTTCTTCCAATTTGGATGGTGCTATGAGGCCACTGGCTAGTCAGATGATGGCTACCCCACACGAGCTTATGAGCAGGGCCCGTTTCTTACCGGCATTAGTGATGTCGTGGAATGTGAGGTAGTTCATCAGCTGGTCTACCCATGCTTCCCAGAACTCTGGATGCGTGTGGTCAAACACTGTGATGATTCCTGGAGCTGCAGCCATGACTTGAGGGTGGTGCGGGGAGCGATGATTGGAGGAATGGGTGTGGTGCTGCTGGGGAGTGATGTGGGGCACAGTGTCCTATTGATCGGTGCTTGGTGCTGGTCCTGGGTTGGAGTCAGGCTCGCTCATCGGGATCCCATCCTCGTTGCCAGTGAAAAGTAGTGGAGTTCCAGGCGTAGCATAGTGAAATCAGCTCTCATTTATTAATTACATCAGACTGATAAAAGACAACTTAGCCGGTGCAAAACTGGCTTATATTGGTGCACACACTCACACCCAACACACCTCCAATTCCCGTGATAGGTTCTATATACACGGCCCCAGTAACGATAGGTTCTCTTCAGGATCCTAACACTCCCATTGGTTCTCGCTAGGATCCGTGGGGGCTATTGTTCTAGACCCGAAGGTCTGTGAGTCCAGTAGACCGCATGGTCGGGCGCACGCGGTCACAGCCATCTTAATACATAACAAAATTAAAACACTTACCAGCACTTGAAAGCAAGATTCTTTAGCAGAAAAAGATGCACTCCTTTTGTTGAGAAAAGATGGATATGTTTTGAATAAGTAAGACACTCGTAAAAGCTAAGGAAAAATACCCCTTTCTCTGTAAAAATATGCACTGCCCTTTTATTATTAAACTGATTATGCCAGTGATTTAGTCCGAAATTTGTTTTGAGTGTTTTTTCCTGATGTACCTTACTGCCCCCTTAACAAAAAATTCCCCTTCCCAAAGAAAAAATTCTGGCTACAGGCCTGGCTGCTAGTCTCCTAAAACAATACAGATTAATGTCTTACTTTCTCATTGCCAGTCATGGATGATTTAAAAAATATAAAACACCATACCTGAAACAATGAAAGACTCCCTCCATCGTGGCAAAGACAGTGATTGGATTCCATTGGAGTAACTACCCTTGTAGCCGGATTGTCCAGCAACTTTCTGAACAAGAATTTTCCCTCCAGATTTGTCAATTATACCGCTGTAAAAACAATACAATCATATCAGAAATATAACTGCACCAGGCCAAAACATTACTTTTTACTCATGCTTCTAACTAAGGGGTACCTTCTTTTAAAGCTGTTTTTATGGTTTGTGTCTCAATGGTAACTTTAAAAAAAATTTTTTTATTCATTTTAAAATAATCATTAACAACAATTAACATCAAAAGCATTAAACAAGCAACAACAAGATATAAGGATCAAGTAGCCTCAAAAGCCTATTATGTAACAGTAAAAACTATTTTAACATTTTTGAACATTTAATGACCAATAATGAAGAGTATGAAGTGCTGGTAATTATGCTACCCCTGTCAGAAAAGCGAGTGTGAGGGCTAGATTAGAACTGGATCTTAGATGCTGAAAACTTTTGTATGTATCTCAGACCTTTCTATCTCAGAACTGGACGTTCCAATCCAACAGTCAGGCATTTCTAATGCACTGAGGTGCATGTTCTGCTGCACACTAACTCCAAGTTACAGTAATCAAAGGACTTACTATTCAAGGACAAGTATAATTTGAGGAATATAATTTGAGTTTGAATGTATCATAAAACATCCCTAACATATAATTAATCTAGCTTTTGTATCAGTAAAAGATGCTGCTTGCTTATGGTGATCAGCAAGCAATATTTTTTAAAAGAAATTTTATTCATTCGTTTTATACCCCGCACGCAGGCTCAGGGTGGCTCCATGAAGGCATGGAGATGAATTCATCACTATGAATTCAGGTGGGGGTAGCCGTGTTGGTCTGAAGCAGCCGAACAAAGTTTGAGTCCAGAGGCATCTTTAAGACTAACAAAGTTTTATTCAAGGTATAAGCTTTCATGTGCAAGCACCCTTCTTCAGATACACTGTGTCCTTGCATGCAAAAGCTTATACGTTGAATAAAACTTGGTTGACCTTAAAGGTGCCACTGAACTCCAACTTTCATCACTATGGAATAAGTGACACTCAAAATGGTTATGTTGTCAGAATCCAGCCTGATCCTGAATGTTTTTATTGCTGTCGTCATTTTCCAAATACATGGGATTCATGCTTTCCCTGAAAATTCTTGACCCAAATATACCACCCTGCCCACTCAGTTTGATAGCTGTCATAATAAAGATGACCTGTCTGGCCCAATCCCCAAAAGAATACCTGCATGAGGTTGCCTCATTCTGAATAAGACCCTTGGTCCCTCGAGGTCAGCATTGTCTTCTCTGACTACCTGCAGCTCTCTTACGTTTTTAGGTAGAGGAGACTTACAGAGGTGGTTTGCCATTGCCTGCCTCTGTGTTCCTTGGTGGTCTCCCATGCAAGTACTAACCAGGGCTGCTACCTGCTTAGCTTCCAAGAACTGATGAGGCTGAGGTAGCCTGGGCCATCCAGGTCAGGGCACCCACTACCTACTCCTTTCTAAACTGGAGAGGCCAGGGACTGAACCTGGAACCAAGCAGATGCTTTACTTCCAAGCCAAGGGCCTTCCCAAAAACAATATGTTGAGAGACCAGCACAAACATAGCCAAAGTGCAAATGTACTACAGATGTAGGGAACCCAACTGTAGGCCATGTCCAACAAACTCCTTAAACAGACAACACATGTTTTGAAGAGGGAAAGTAAGAACAAGCAGGCTGGCCCATCCTCCACCTATTTACATTTGTGCAGAGGTCATTTTGGGGGGGATCGCGGGGGATCGCAGTTCCCCCGGGCGAGGTACGGGGGGCGGGGCACATGACGCAGCCCCGACTCTTGCAGGTCCACCGCCGGGCCCCTCATGGGGCTCGCAGTGGAGCTGCAAGGCCGGCACCGGCGGCCGGGACCATTGGAGGCGGGGTGTGTGGCCTTATGACACACTTCTGGTGATGTCAGGGGGTGTGGCCTTATGACACACTTCCGGTGATGTCAGGGGATGTGGCATATACTAATGAGTTATGCTAATGAGTTCCCCTAGCTCTTTTTCTACAAAACGACCCCTGCATTTGTGGGAACACGGAACAGCACCCAGTGAGAGAATCTGTGACTGAGCTGAGCCTCCTTTTCCCATTCTTCTTGAAGGAAGTTCACAAGTTACTATACAAGCCAATTTTGTAACAAAATAGACAATTGATATACAAGCAAGAATAAATGTTCATAGGGGAAGGGGGATCATCCCTGCTTCTTCTACCCTCTACATGCATTTGATATATCATGTGGACAAGAATCTCTGACCATACAAATGTATGGAAGTCCTGTATCCACAATGGGGTCCCTGAATTTGCCAGGATTCTTGACTTTGCAGACAAAAACTAGTATATCCATAGGAAAACATGAAACAGTCTGATGCTGAGTCAGAGCATTGGTCTATCACAATGAATGGCAGCCGCCGTCTACGATCTACCACCTTCTGCCCGATCCCTTTAAACGGAGATGCCAGGGTCTGAAACTGGGGCCTTCTGTATGCAAAGCAGAGGCTCTGCCACTCAACCATGGCCCCTCCCATATGCTTGTTCACAGCTTGTAATGAAATCGATTTGGGGGGGGGGAAGGCACAGCCAGTGATTGCAGCTCAACTCCTTCCATATGTGGATTCCATCTAGGCAGAAACTTTTGAACAGCCCAGTCTCACTTGGGAAAAATAGGAGGGGGGAATACATGTTCTGCCCCTCCTTCTGGAGAATGTGCATCTCCCCACCAATGGACAGGTGTGATAAGTGTGGGGAAGAGAACCTAAAGATACACATGCATTCACCACTTTCTCTGAATGCCCGAAGTAGTTCTCAAGCGCACTTAGTGGTTATTATTCGTTCATTTAATTAGGTATTTATATACCTTTCTCCCCATTGGGGACCCAAAGTGGCTTACAACATCATTGTCCCCTCCTCCTTTTTATCCTCTTAACAATCACTTTAATATAAAAAGCAGCTGTCAGGGACACAAAGTACCTGAACATTTGGCTATTTATTATATAGGACTTTTCATTATCCATATTCATATATCTGAGTGTCTGCTCTACTTAACTGATTTTGTTTTGAGTCAGACAGTGAAATCACTCCATGCTATTTTAACGGCAATTTAATAAAACACCTGAATATATAGTTACAGTCAGCAGGTGGCAGTGTTTTGGGGAATTAGCCTTTGGTCTACAACAAAAAAATGGAAAGCCGTGTGTGGTTTCTATGCTAAACAGCAAAGAGCTTTTTTATTTCAAAATCCTACCCCATATCTTTTCAGGAGATGCATAATTTCTTATGTTGAAAATAAACATTCTTAGCTTTTTACTACTCATTGAAATTTGCTATCACTAACTTTTCACATTCTAAAGAAGCAAATTTGGTACCTACATTTTCACCTTGTCAGATCACATTTCTATAGGATGAGGACAAGATGACTTTGGGCCAGATAAACGCACTCAAGTGTCCAACTTCCCTTCAGCGTCCCACCCATTTCTGAACATCTATGGGATGGGGTGGGGTTGAATATTTGTATTGGGTGTACTCATGTATACAGTGTGTGGCTAGATTTTTTTCTGAAAAAATCATGGGTGCAGTATGCACAGACATCTGATTTGAATGCTATGACCCTGTGGGTATGTTGGGAGGTAGGTCTTGCGTGCTAGCTGGATTCTCTGTCCACCATGGGCATCTGGGTCACCTTCAGATAATTCCAACTGGCCCCTTATTACAAAAAATTATAAATGACTACTGAGACATTTTTGGAGGCACTCACATAGTACAAATTGCCTCTTGACTATAAGGAAGTGTCTGTGAGTACATGTCTGAAGTACTGACAGTTGATTATTCTGTTCCTACTAATCCTCCTCTATAGTTTGTACATCTTAATCCTGAGGGAAAGAAAGAACTGTGCTACTTCTATGCTCTGCACAGGACCTAGGGAGAAGGAATATGTAACACATACAATGGGTGGACTCAGTGATTGTAGAATCTTGGGCAAAAGACCAGGATGGGGCCACACAATCACTGCCTGCCCCCCTGCCAGGGCTGCCTGAGGTGAGCAGGAAAGATGCTAAAGCTGTACAAAGCTAATATATTCAAAATTACATATACAATATCATTTAATAATGAACATGCGGTATCAAAAAAGTTCAAATATGATTTTTACAAAATTTTCTGCGATGCAGTAAGTTTCATATAAGTCATACGGGTACAAGTAATGAAGGATCCAGATATTAATAACTTTGTTTCGATGGTCTTCTTCAGTAATAACTATTACATGTTTTTCATAAGGGGGGACGCCACCCCCGCGGGTGAGATGCGGGAGGGCGGGGCCTGGAGCTCCCTGCTGGTGCCCGCTGGAGGTCGCCGCCGGCTGTGGGGAGGACACACTTCCGGTGATGTCAGGGGGTGTGGCATATGCTAATGAGTTATGCTAATGAGTCCCCCTAGCTCTTTTTCTACAAAATGACCCCTGGTAATAACTATTACATGTTTTTCATAAGCATAATTTCCATAAGGATCTGAGGTATAAATATCTCAATGCCAGCAGATAGACATTTTGGAGTTGCTTTCCCTTAAAGAATTATGACGGGCTGCCTGTTTGTAGAAACTATATACTTTGGAAATTTGCATTGAGATATGTATACCTCAGATCCTTATGGAAATTATGCTTATGAAAAACATGTAATAGTTATTACTGAAGAAGACCATTGAAATGAAGTTATTAGTATCCGGATCCTTTTTGTTACTTGTACCCGTATGACTTATATGGAACTTACTGCATCGCAGAAAATTTTGTAAAAATCATATTTGAACTTTTTTGATATTGTATGTTCTTTATTGAATGATCTTGTATATGTAATTTTGAATATATTAGCTTTGTACAGCTTTAGTGTCTTTCTTTGCACAGCCTTTGCTTTGGATTTTGTCTATTGCTGTGTGATCTTCTGTTGTTTATTGAGGTAAGCAGGAGCCACTATGAGAAGCTAGATGGGGCAGGCACAAGCAGGCAGCAGGAGTGTGCTCTTCTTCTTTTCCCCAGCGTGGGGGCCCAGGTAGGGGCCCTCATTCTCTGAAAGGAACAGGACAACAAGTTTGCATCACAAGCTGGTTGTGCACAGCACCGATTGGCACCTGTGATGTCACAAAGACATGTCCCACTACTTCCCAGAGTACTTTGGGATATTAACAAAGGGTTATCAGCGTGCAACTGAGGGACTGTGGAACTGCTGAGTTCCTAGAACTCTTCCCTCACATGCTGCCAGTTTCAGCCGCTGAGGACACGCTCCTCTTTCTCTGCTGACCTGTGAATAGCAGCACCACACACACTGGAGAAAGAAGCATAGATGTCTGTGCCATAGACTCGGTATTTGGTGTCCAGGCATCCAGAAGGGCACTTGGCAATGAATTCTGGATTGATGATTTTCGCAGCTTTGATATCACATTCAATCTGAGGAACATCTGTAAACACACAAGTCTAAAGTTATTTTTAATGTTGATAATCCTGAGAATACAGATGCCATTTGCAATAATTGTTAAGTCAAGCAGGATTCCGAAGAGGCAACATATAAACTCCCAAAATTAAGTAATGAATATGTGCAATTTTTAAGTGCCCAATAATTGTTAACTAGAAGAGATTTTAAAAAGCCAGTGTTGGTTTTAAGGTCTGGATGTTTAACAGTACTGTCCTAAGCAGAGCTGTACCCATCTAAGTCCATTGAAGTCAATGAACTTTTAAGAGTGGAACTCTCCTTAGGACTGTACTGTACATCACAGCAAGAATATCCCTACTACAGTCTGTCTGAAGAGCCTCAGTGCAGCAACTTGCTCTGCTGCGCATCCAGAGTTCTCTCTGGGACCAGAACTCATGTGAGATTCTGGTTCAGTTTGATTCAGCTTCTGAGTCCCGCTTAGCTGAATTTTAAATTTTAAATGGGCGTGCCACTTCACGTACACACGTGTGTGTGTGTGTGTGTGTGCATGCTCCCTCTGTGTCTAAGTCACAAACGTTCAAAGATAGGCTACTATATACCGAGTGTGTTGTTATATTCATTGAAGTAAGCTTGGAAATCTAGCCAACAGAGCAACCCCACTGTCTCCAGTGCTGTGGTTAACCATGTTACTTCACACCCTTGAGCCAGTCCTTGTCTCTGTATCTTAAAAGTCTGTACCACCACCGAGCTGCCATCTTTGACGGTGTATCCTATCAGGATGTGAGCTGGCCCTGGAAAGATGACCAGACGACCTGAAGAACTGGTTATGAATGGACGACAGTACCATCCGGAACTTATGCTGATGGGTTATGCTAGTTTGTGGAACCCCATCTTGGATTGATTTAGAGCACCAACACTTTGTTTGTAATTGACCGTTTTATTCTGTTTTTAGTAGTTGTGTCATGGCATATGCCTCTTGTTAGCCGCCCTGAGCCCGTTTGGGGAGGGTGGGATATAAATTTAATAAAATAAATAAGTAAATTACCTGCCCTCCCCCCAGCTGGAATGTTTTATAAATATATGCAGGAACGGGCCAATGACTGAAGATGTAAAGGAGCAAGAGAGACAACAGGGAGAAAAGCTTAGACTTTTCAGGTAGAAGACCTGAATGTGATCCAGTTTATGGTACCATAGAGTTTTCAGGCCGAATCCTAGAGCCTCCTCCCACAATGTGCCCCATGTGATGATGTCACATCTGGATGACGTCATCCAGGGGTCATTTCGTAGAAAAGAGCTAGGGGGACTCATTAGCATAACTCATTAGCATATGCCACTCCCCCTGGCATCACCGGAGGTGTGTGCTCCCCACAGCCGGCGGCGACCTCCAGCGGGCACCAGCAGGGAGCTCCAGGCCCCGCCCTCCCGCACCTCACCCGGGGGGATGGCGTCCCCCCGCGTCCCCCCCCAAATGACCCCTGACGTCATCACGCCAGGTATGTTGGCCCAAAACAGGCACTTTGGAGGGTGGGGTTCCCCCTGCCGGCTGGATCTGGGCTGGCAGGTTGGAGGCCCCTAGAGTGGACAACCCCTCTTGGGGGATCTAGCAGCCCTACTCTTATGGGAGACAAATACTATGGTCTGAAGAAAAATTAATGGAGAATCAGGATTTCTGTTTAATTTAGTTGCCGAGTCCTTCAATGAGGGGAAAGTACAAGATACAAATCTCTTAATGATAAATTAACAAATAGTAAATGTATGTGTGGGGACCTGCAAGAAATTTGTTGGAGCGGCTATCCCATTCCCCCCACCTA